GCGTTTAGTTGTTGTGATTGGAAAGTGGTTCCAGGATCTAAGCTTGACTGTTTCTGCAACTTATTCTTATGCTTTAATGCACGTATTTATTTAAATCTTTTTGATTTTGGACTTTGAGCTGGTCTCTACATATCAGAAACTTTAGTTTCCCTCTTTACACCAAAATTTCTGCTCTCAACTTTTTCTGGTGTCCCCGCTGAACTTAGTAACATACGAAGAGATGAAGTAACTAATTCCAGTAGATTATAAAAGAGGAGACAAAACAAAATCATTGTAGAACATCTTCAGAGTGAAACGATGTAAGGCGGTGGCGGTCAATAGTGTTACCTACATCTTTAGTAAGTTGGAGTTACCTGCTTTATTTCGCGTCATGTTGGTAATCGGTCAAATTATTTGGCGTGTGATGGGCTCCATACTTTACATCATTAAAAAAACGGGTTATTATATGAAGACCCTCTTTTATACTGTTTTAATGCTCTCCTAGTTTATATCCATGTTCTCATCTTCTCTCTTCTATAAACATGGGGGTATAGACTTTACTCCTAAATTGAGTTATTCAAACTCAGCCAATATTTTATATATTCTCTGAATTCTAAGCTTTTTATTTTTCTACATTTTTTGCTATGATTATTGGGTTATTACGGTTAATTTTCTATAAATCTGTCCATTTTGCATTCCCAAGAGATGGTTTTAACGGGTTCTAGTTTATAGAATACTTCTACTTTCGATGATGAATCTAATCTATTTCGAGCTATGAATCTAATGATTCAATGTTTACCATCTCTCCCCACCGTTACAATGACTACAAAGAAAATAACAATGCTATTTATTACGTAGTAGACCGAGTAACATCAACCTGAAACCTGAAGATTTAGTTGAAGCGATAATCATCATCATTAAGGCAGTTGAATTAAGCGAGTTCTCCGAAGAAATTAAACATTTTCTAATTAAATCTAGACAAAAACAACATTATAAGAGTAGGAGAACGAGTCTCAGAATTAAGTATACCATACAATCAGAAACATCCCATCATTTTGCTATACAATGACCCCGTGGCAAAGCTTATTATGGAACACGTACATCGAGAAAATCTCCATTGTGAACTTCAAGCATTGTTGGCATAGACCAGGCAAAAATTCTGGTCAATTAAAGGAGAGTGCATGGTCAGAGTTATTGTACAACATTGCGTCTTATGCAGGCGAGCACAGCCTCAAATGTTAAAACAAATAATGGGCAACCTACCAAAGGATAGAGTTTCTTCAACAAGACCATTCTTCAATTCGGGAGTGGATTCATTATAAAATTCGCGTTAAAAAACCATGCAAGGCCTACATTGTGGTATTTTGCTGTTTTTCTACCAAAGCACTTCATCTGGAGATCCTTAGTGACTTGACAACTACAAACAAAATAACAATGCTATTTATTACGATCTACGCAGTAAAGACAAAAATTATAAACTAAAAATTTCTTTTAATTTTCTACGTTAATTAAGTGTTTTTAAGCCCATGAATTAAAAATAATTTCTCAAATAAAAATGCCTCATCTAGTACTTTTGGAGAATGTGTTCAAAAAAAAAAAATGGTAAACATTAATTATAATGGAAATAGAAATCATATGATATGTCAGTCAGTTCTTGTGTTTGCTTTCGACAAAAAACTTTTCAGTTGTTTTTATTCGTTGGTTGTGTTTTGGTCGCTATGCGCCGGGGGAAAAGGTTCTCGGCTTGTGACAGAATGTTGAAATAAAAAACTAAATGCATATTTAATAGTAGTTAAAATTTTGCAACAAGAAATAAAAACAAATTATGCAAAGCAAATATGTACGAAATTAAAGAGCAAAAAGTTAAAAGGTGGTGAAGAAGAAGAGAAGCCAAAAAGCGCAAAATAAGAAGTTCAATTCAGTAAAATTAGGTCTTTGGCCCTTGCTTAAAAAGTCAAGTTAGCCAAAAAACAAACAAGTCAACAAAAAAGAAATCAGTGTGCGTCAGTAATTTGAAAGCAATTTTTTTAATAAAAATTAAAAATAAATATAAAGAATAAAATCGTTTATTAAACAAAATGGATTTTTTACAAAATATTTTAAAGAATCTGCAAACGTTTTTGTGTAAGTTTCCATGTTAACAAATAATTTATTGTTTTACCAATAACTACAAATTTCTTATATACTTTAAATATATATATATATAAGATTTAGAAAATGTTTGAGATTTTTTCTTCTATTCTTCAGCATCTTACATTGATCTGGACTATTCAATATGGCTTTACCGATTACTTACGCCGCTGTTGATAACATTTCTGCTGCCCATGGTTTTTGTGGCGCTCATCTACATATCGTACATTATGCTTTGCATATACCGATTACACCGGTAAGTTATTTCCAGTAATTGCCATACTTACGCATAACTGTTTTGCAATGTGAATTATAATATAATTATAATTAATTAAAATTCAGTTTTTTTTTTAAACTAACATTTTCTATAAAATATATTTTGAAATTTATGCTACCGAAATATATTCACTAATCACTAATTCCATGCACGTAGAGATTTAAACGAGTTTATAGTTAAAAATTATAGCCGCCAAAACGCTAGAAGTGAATTTGTGTGTCCTTGTTGAAACTTAACCCGTTTTACTTTCATTGTGACACAACACTGGTTACCACAACAACAACAACAACTACAAATTTACTATTGATAGAATGATTAACTCAAAGCTATATAGAAATTTTTGGGCCAATAATACAGTCTAACCTTATGTTCCAACTTAGTATGAAATACTGTTGCACGCTTAAATATGAATCAAGCCAACAGAGTTAATGACTTAAGACAGTATTGAAACCTAAGTTCCGAGTAGAGTGTGAATCAGAAGCTATGGAAAAAAATTTCCACTTAATCAGTTAATTTACAACTACAGCCATATAAAAATCACGAAGATCAGCTCTCCTTTTGATATTTGTTTTAAAAAAAAATACAACAAATCAAAAAGCTGCTGCAGTGGCAGCCGCATAAGTTGAGCTGATCGAACTTTTATAATGGGAAACGTCTAGGGAACTGTGACAGACCCAAAAAAAGTTGCGCTCTCTAATTTTGGAACTGTATTGGACATGGAAAAAACCACAAATTGTTGCATCAAAATTAAAAAAAAAACATTTTAACAGTTGGTATAAGAAATGGTCTTAAATTTTAACTATTCAAAAAATAAACCAATTTTTAATGACACATATCCTTTTTTCCGGATTAATAACAAATTAAAAAAGAAGGATGATATAGATCAACAAATAGAAATAACGTGTGAATAATGCGATCGCATTACATTTAGAAATGCGATCGCATTCTAATCAATATTAAAGTAAACGATCAGATGGATCAATGTTAACGTAAACGATCTTAAGAAAAAGCATGAACGTGAGAACACATTTCCTAATTTAATGCGATCGCATTCTAATCAATATTTAAGTAAACGATCAGATGGGTCAATGTTAAAGTAGACGATCTTAACAAAAGGCATAACGTGAGAATACATTCTCAATTTAATGCGATCGCATTCTAATCAATATTAAAGTAAACGATCAGATGGATCAATGTTAGAGTAGACGATCTTAACAAAAAGGATGCACGTGAGACCACAATTTTTGATCTAATGTGATCGCAATTTAATCAATATTAATCGCATTAGATTAAAAAATATCAAGATATATTCAATATATTCAAGATTGTAATACTATTAAAAAAAAAAAGAAAGAACTAGTGCCCAATGCACGATTAAACTACAGAGTTCATAGGTTTTTAACGTGATTATCTGCCGTGATTGTTGAACATTACGTGTTTTCTTAACAGACATATTAGTGCAATTGATACTGTATATCTGGATACTCTCCTTGAGAAGGAGACAGACTTATCTAAAATATTGGTGTAGTATTATGAATAGATAAGAAGAACTACCCACAAAAAATATGTTCATATTCACATGTTATTAAAAACTTCGTCCATTTGAGGTATTTAGTTGGAGGGCGTTGGTTTAAATGGGAAAAAGATTTAATTTTATCATTTAATAATTTTACACCCATTCCCATCTTTTCCATCTTTTTTGTCTTATTTCACTTTAACCCAAATAAAGTTTACTATCCATAACTATAGCAGATTGAAATTGATTTCTATTTCTGTTGTACTTTCATCCGAAACTATCACGTTCTCATGAGGGACAACAATAGCCAAAAGTTTATTAATCGTCTTGCAGTTTCATATACTGCTAAGGCTTCTGTTCATCTATAATCTATAATGTATCTATAATTCTATAGATATATTATAATATAAAGATATATAATATCTATAGAATTTTTAGATATATAGATAATCTACATATAGCTAACGTATATATGTACGGTTTTAAGTTAATGCAAAATTAATTTCGCTGGTTTTGATTTATGGAATATTTTCTGTTTGGATTGAACTAAGAGTATATTGATTTAACTGCAGCAAGTTTTTTTTAAATTAACTAATAAGCAGGTATTTTTTTAGGCCAATATTTTAGTTAGTTTAATATTAACTCAGATATAATCAAGTTTTTGCTTTCAGCCCAGCTTAGATAATAAACTGTTTAACACTTTTTTGCAGTAATAACGTTTATAGTGTCTATTATCTATCAATTGACATCTATTAATTAATTTTACATTGTTTACCTATTATTACATCTTTTTTGTAAAGTTATTTGTTATTTGTTAACGACGTGACGTTTTTAGTAAAAGGTTTTAGTGGAGATGTGAACCCCCAAGCACTTCCGTTTAATATGTTTAAACATTTTTAACATTCTCTTAAAATGTTTATATATTTACCCTTTATAAAACGGAGATTCTTATAACTATCTTAGCCTTTTTTAATTATTTGGACAAGGTATTTATTAAACAGGCCTGATCTATTAAACAGGTATTTCGTTTCAGTGTACAGAATTACAGTTCACGCCAGTGTCCACATTTAAGACTTTCCAATGTGTTGCTTAATCTATCTTAACCTAATCGTATCGTAACATGTTTTCTTATTCTTATTTTTTTGTTGAAGACTGGAATTCTTCCTGAAATAGATCCTTATGATTTTAACCTTCGTGTTAAGTACTTATTTAATATTCACCTGTACTTATATTTTGTTCAGACCTGGAGATTTGTTCCAGACTTCTTTTATATATATGTATGTATACATATTTATATGTATATGATTCATAAAAACTATTTTTTTAAAAAAGTAATGACTAAGTAGAGGGTTTTTTAATTATCTAGTAATTACTTCCAAATACCAGTTATGTGTCTATCGTCAATTGGGAAACGAATTTAGGTAAAGTAATATTCTCTATAACAATCCATCAATCGTCTCTATCGTGAACTGGGAAGCGAATTTGGGTAAAGTGATATTCTCTATAACAATCCATCAATCGTCTCTATCGTGAATTGGGAAGCGAATTTGGGTAAAGTAATATCCTCTATAGCAGTTCACTAAGAGCTGGACTTGGTACTTGGTAAAGATGTGATGTGTTCTTATTGCCGTCTTTTAGCTTCGATCCACTGAAGGTTCATTGTTTTTTTTTCTCCGAGATCTTGGGCTTTGGTTATTTCCCAATTTTACTATCATAAAAAACAAAACTAATATATATTATTATATATATATAATAGGTATATATATTATTTTTATAAAGTAATAATATTAATTCAAGATCTAATCATTTTGAAAATATATTGAATAATTTCTTTATTGCTAGTATCTTATATCTCTTAGAGATATGTATATAGTAAATTGTTTGCTAGACTTAACGTTTTGCCTTTCCTATGTCTCGAAGTATTGACTCGAAGTACCCAACTCAATTAAGTTCGTACTAATATAAGTAGTATTGTATATACTACAAAAGTTATGAATAACATTCAGTATTTTCATTTTAAAATGAAATGCATAAATGATATACGTAGATATGTATGTATATTTATATATATATGCATGCATAAATGTAAATAAATATATTTTAAAGAGGTTAAAATTTAAGTAAAAACGTAAAAACAAGTTTAGTAGTTTTTCTTAAGTTTCATTAAAGTTTTAGTCATTATTATTTTATTCTACTTTGTTAGAAAGTATGTTAATAAGATATTTATACAGTTATGTACAGTTGGTTTCAGATATATTTATGAATGGAAGTCAGATTAAAAATCTTTTTAAATAAATTCAAACAAATGAAGATGTTAATTTTAGCTGATGTCAAAGTTTAAATATCCTTTATATGGAATTATTTAGAGTCCCCCAGCAGAAACTTTATGTGATTAGTACCTATATTCACCTATTTGCAGGATGAATCTCGTACTTCCTTAATCATAATTGGGCCATTGAATGATTCACTTAAACAGAAAGACCTGAATCAATCAATAGGAAATGCGAGATCCCATATAAGTTAAGTAATTCGAAAAATGTTTTTATAGCTTGGATGAGATTTATTGTCATACCTGGCATATTCTTCATATCAATAGTAAATGCGAGATCCCATACAAGCTAAGTAAGTAACTCTCCAAATGCTTTTATAGTTTGGCTGGGATATGCTTCAGATCTGATATCTTTTTATTATTATTTATTCTGGGCTCTACAAAGTTTTTATGAGGTAAAACCTTTTCATTTAGGTCTATTGGCCCATTGTGTTACCGTATATATAGGAAAAACTCTGGGTTTAAAACCACCTTGAACCTTTGGCGAAGCCTAAAATGCTATTTTGTATTAGGTTTTGGAATTGATTAAGATTCTCAAGAAAGGGGGCTCCTAAAGTGTTAAGTCGCCGCTGTGCATGAGCTGGGCAAAAACATAATAGATGAGAGGCAATCTCATCGTCTTCCCCACAGCTGCAACAGGTTTTATTGAAAGGGAAGTCTAATCTTCTAGTATGGCTTCCTAATTTATGGTGACCTGTAAGTAAACCTACCAAAAGACAGATATCTCTACGGGGTATCTCAATGAGAATTTTGGATTTCCTTTTATTGGAAGGTGACCAGATTGCATACAGATGCCTACATATCGTTGAGTCTTCCCATCTTTTATTAAAAATTTTAGCACAGAAAGAACTCAGTAACAGTTGATGTTAACATAGTGATGTTAGCGATATGCCCAGCTTTTGCTAGTAAAGCACAAAAATTTAAGGAGCCTTTAAACGTGCTATTGCCAGAGAATTGGGAAGAGGTTTTGGGAACAGAATGAACTATATATAAGTCAATAAAAAATTTGTTTACTGGTTAGAAAACCATTTTTCAGTTTCATAAGATAATGAAAATAATTTTCGAACAACCTTATATATTATGTATATAATATATTATTTATTTGAAATTGTTTAGGTTATATCGTCTTGACTT